AGTCACTAAATCGTCTTTACTCTCTACCTCTCATCACATAATGGGTGTGACTTCTTTGGACCTGTTTCTACATCTCTAAGAGGGAAATAACCATAATATCTGTCACACATATTCAGTATAAAGCAAAAAAGAAAATTCCACTATTGTCACCCCAAAGCCATCTCTTAATTAGGAATCTAGAGGAATAGGACCAGATGGATAAAGATAAGAGAAGCCCATGGAACTTTTTCTATGGAAAAGTTCAGCTTCCATTTCCCCAAGAGCATTTGGGTGGGTGGGACTTTAAGCACTCAACACCTGGTACAGGTTTTTGTTGCTTTAATTCCCTAAACTCTAGAAACAAAGTAGAAAAACCAGTGAGGGTGTGTGTGTGTGCGGGACTACCCTATGTCCCAGTAGAAAGAAACCCAGGACAGAGACAAAGTGTGGTAGACACCAGTAAGGACTGAGCTGATTAAAAACAAATTATTCCCCAAGTGCCAGTTACTTACCTTGATGGGGAAAAAAGAATTGAAGCACTAATTAACCTTTGTCCATCCTGGAGAGGGGACAGGCCACATGGTCAGGCAACAGAGAGGGAAGCCAAGCCTACTTTTATTCCAAAGTTTTATTATAAACAAGAACACCCTGAAGAAACTTCGTGCCTTCTTGGGCAGTGACCAGGAGATCCTTGGCAGGCATTTGGATGTCTCCAAAGGAACAAGGCTTGTATTTCACAAAGGAGCCTGGGAGGCCATAACTGGTGATCTCTAGAAAAACCAGGAACTGAAATAGGGATCCTGATCTCTCCCTCCACCCGCCCCTTAACCATCATTGGTCATCTCTCCCACTGATTGGTAATAGGAACTATTAATAATTTTTCTTCCAGAAAACAAGGCATAAAGTCCAATTCTCATTGTGATTGACTTATGAGGTAATGAAAAAATCCCCCCAGTTGTGTAAACGGAGAAGTGGCTGGGTCTTACCAAGTTTGAGAGTAAGAGGGGATGGGGGACATGGAAATCAAATGGAAAGTACATGAGAAGGACAAAGACAAGTACTTCAGTGGATGGAAGGCTTTAGTGATCAAAGGAACTGGCTTTGGACAATATCCATCATTCCACTGTAAACCAGGAAGTCACCAAGGGCTTTTCTGTTTGGCTTCCTGAAGCCTATAGATTTGGGAGAATCAAGGCCTAAGTGAAGAGATGCAGAATTTTCACAAAACAGACAGATCAGATTACTCTTCCCCACCTTGTCTATGAGTTACCAAGATCCCCAGTGTAGGAGACCACCGGCCCAGGAAAGAGGATTTCACAGCATCTGGTGGTCGTCAGTCTCCCAATAAAGTGAAGCTTTCCTTCAAGGTTCTTAGGTCATCTGAGAGGCAGGACAGGGGTCTGTCCCAGCCCAGAAGGACCCCGCTCCCTGCAGTTGATGCAGTGGCCTAGTGTTTTCTGACAAGCCAAAGGCCTTGCTAGGAGGATGGGCCAGAAACTGAACACAAAGACACACGAGAAAACAACCTGTGTATATTTAACAATATATATTTATAGATATTTTCTAGATCAGTACATTCAGTTTTTAACTTGTTTTTTTCTTCACAAACAGAAGAACTCTTACAATAGTAGACTTTCTAAAATAAATACTATTAAAATAGAGCTTCAAAATAAATATTCTATACAAAGGAAACCTTCTGTGGTAACTTTTTGTGGTGGGGTGAGAAGGGGCTACAGTGAAGGGGAAAATGAAGTAGGAATGTGGTGGTGGTGGGGGGGAGCCAGGGAACAGCTTTACTGCTTGCAACACGAAACCAAACTGTGGGGCAGCAAGTTAGAGAGAGCAAGAGAAGAACACTGCACACACGCAGCTACCCACAGCCAAACAATAGCAATGCAATATTTGACATCCACTGTCACAGTAAGCAGAGAAGGCATGAAAATGCTTACCAAAGGCATGAACCAGAGGGCTGGTGAAGCTTGCAGGATGCCATAGTGAACTGTACAGCGCAGAGTTGTGTCCCTGCACCCCATCACACACTTCCTGGGGCAGCATAGGAGAATGTGACACTTCAAGGTGACAGTCACCTGGGTTCTGGCCAGACACAATTTTCACGTGTGCAACCTCAGGCAAGTCTGTCTAAATGGGTCCCACTTGATGCACAGCAGGAATCAATGTAGACTCCAAACACAGAACAAACCCCACACCACATGCGTACCTTCTGTCTGTCAGCTGTGAAGGGTCAACAGAAGGGACCAGTCTTCACTTCCAGCCGGTTTCTCAGAGGAGCCTTGGTTGCACCCTATCACTTGATCTGGGAGGGTTCTGCTAGCCTAGACCCAGTTCCCAGGGTGCCTGTTGGGGTGCCGGCCTTCATAAACCCACCCTCAAGGCGGGGCAGGCAAGCAGCCACAGAAAAACTAGGCAAAGTGTCCTGGATCAACCCCAGTCCCAGGTCTAAGAGAAGTGGGAACCAGCTGGCACTTTTCAAGATGAGACGTAATCCAGCCAAGCAAGCTGCTGGTGACAGCAAGCAACCAGCCAGAAGCAGCTACAGAAATGTGTTCTCAGTGCTTGATCCCTCTGCGGCTCTGGACTGGCTTGGGAAGGGCTGGGGGACCCACAGGCAAGCCACATTTTTCCTTTTTCTTTTTGGCCAACGAGCCAGGGAAGACCGAAGCTGAGGGGACTGGTGCACGGCAGAGCTGGGAGAACCCAGGGCGCTTCCTTCACTGCTTCCCTTTCGCCACTGCGCACGCGGGGCACAGAGGTGGACTCCTGGGGACAGTTCTGCTGACACAGATCTAGCAGGTTAAACACAAGCCACAACAGGGGAGGGGAAAAAAGAAAGAAGGCAAACCAAAACCCACAAGATCCGTGTTTACAACTATGTACACAAAAAGTCAGGGTTCAGGAGGCCATTTGCCAGGAAATGGGGTCTTTGTCAGTAGGGGGTCAGTGTGTGTGTGTGTGAATGCGTGCATGCATGTGTGTGTGTGTGTGTGTGTGTACACAGCTTATGAAAACCAATTCTCCACAGAATGGGTGTGTAGACCAAGATCACCAAAGTGCAACTTGCCACTGGGTTAAGTTTCCCATGGAGACAATTTTGAGGGAGGGGCCCTGAGAGCCAATCCCATGGCCTTGCAGGAAAGAGTGCACGTGTGCTATCATTTGGGGGGGGCCACCTCTGCACACCTCGTCTGAGGAAAAACCTCTCCAGCCCCTTCAGCACACTTCCAATACATTCAATGAGTAAGTGGTTGCTGAACGTTTGTTTTCACCATTCCCTCCAATTTGTGCAAGAACATCCATACATCCATCACAATTGTGGCAAGGGGAGCTATATGAATTAGCCTTGGAAAATGAAGATGCAATACCTTATACTCGCCTTTTACAAGCCAGCAGATGTTACATAAATAAAGCCAAAAATAATAAGACCCTCCCTTCCTCCAATCAATAAATACCTATGGTTACAATTAACTTATTCTAAATCATAAGATGTTAACTACTAATATCCGAAGGGCGGGGGAGGAGGAGTCCTTGAGAAGCATGAAGTACATGCCACTCTGGGCTCCCTGCATCCTTTTTTGGAGGCAGTTCTGTTTCTATAGAACAAGCTGGAAATGCTACAGATGCTGTCTAATGCGCTTCCAATTTTACCTGGGGCATCTCTTCTGACCCAGGCCATTTCCTCTCAACAGATGGGGGGTGGGACACAACATACCACACAAAGCAAAAACCCCACACAACAATAGCTGGGGTGGGGGTGGGGGTCAGGGTGGGGGAGGACCAGACACACTACAGCTTTTGCATGCAACAAGTACCTACCCACTGGACGTGCTGCACTTTCCGAGTCCTTTAGCACCTTGAAAGAAAGAGTTGCTACGTCTTTGGGGGCTGTCGGGAGGGCGGTGTGCTGTGCACAAAAGCAGGGCTCGATCCCAGGGGCCCCTGGAGAACTTTCCCACCCTCTCTTGAGTTCTTCTGACTCCCCCGCTGGGGCTTCCTAACGCTAAAATATACTCTTTTCACCATCTCTATTTACATAAAGATACAGACGCATCACTATACACAAAGGCTATGACAGTAAGCAGCAGAATCAGGAGAGAGGAAATCCAGCCCCAGCTCGGCTCAGCTGTCATTCTGCCAATGAGAGGTGCTGCCTCTTCTTCGCTGATAAGATCCTCTTCTTGGTGGGCAGGGGAATTGTGTTCCTTGAGGTCGCTTGCCCCCCAGATTTTGATATCAGCCCTTCCTGGGGGTGGCCCAAAAGGAAGCAAGTTGCTTTATTATTATTTTTTTAAAACACCGTTAGCATCTGGTTTAATTATTCTATAAAAACATCGCGACTGGATCCAGAGACCACAGCCTCAGACTCATTGGCAAAATTATATTTGGTCTCGCATGTGCTCCCCTGGCCTCCTCTACCCATCAAGTTTCTGGAAAGGATCTGAGTAGAGAGAACTCAGGACACAGAGCAGGTGGGCAAGTCTGTGACTCGGTAAGAACCGGTGGACGGTGTGATGAGCGGACACCCCAAGTTAGTGATGCGGCCAAGAGAGAGGAATGCACTGCTCATTGGCTCCGAAATCCATCCTGTGGTTCTGGGGAGGCAGGAGGAGGAATGAGGCTTCAACTCACTTGCTGTCCTCTGTTCTCAGCAACTCCCAAGTATATACAATAGGAATGGCTAGGGTGTTCTAGACCTTCTCCTGGACGCAGGAGCCAACTGGTGTGGAGGGAGGAGGGGAAGAAGAAGGTTGAGAAGTTGAGATTCCAAGGGTCTTCTTCAAGGTTACCCTGGTCCTCAGTTAACAATTCCTCCCAGGCAGCCAGCAGGCTTCTGTGAGAGCCAAAGACAATGGCAAAGTGGGAGGGAGACAGGGAGGGAGGAGCAAGGACCCCGAAGGCCATCAAGCAGCTGCAACTTGGGAAATGCGTCCACATCTATGTTCCGTCTTCTGAAAAAGAAAAATCCCCCCAAAATCACACCCTGCCCGTGCCACTGTCTGCTTGACACAAAGTTCCAAGACCCTAAAAAAACCCAGAGTACATCTTCATCCTTTTGGGGAACAGAGGGTGGGTGATGGTGGCTGTCTCTGCCTGCTTCTTCCCAAGCCACGGATGTGAAGAGGACACACGTGAGCAAGGTCAGCCTCAGAAGACTGGCAGGAGGAATCACGTTTCTAGGGACAGCACTGGGGCTTCAACCCAAAGTGTCAGAAAGGCTTGTCGGGTCTGCTGGCCTTGACGTCCCCGCTGGCTGCCTTGCAGATGACGCTGTTCGTATGCTTGCAGCGGCAACCAGGGCGGCGCAGGCGGTCATAGCCACGCTGGGCCAGCTTCACGCAGCCGGTGGCGGGCAGGTAGCAGAGCAGGCAGGGCAGCACCATGGAGAGGGCACCCATGAAGGACCAGCGGGCGCAGCAGTTGGAACGGGAGCAGGAGCAGGGATGGTCGGCGCAGGAGCCCTCATCGTCCTCGTTGGTGCAATGGTAGAAGATGCCCTGTACCAGGCACATACATGTGCCATAGTTGACCAGGGTTTGGGCCGAGCACAAGCACTCCTGGTTGCACACCCAGCAGGAGGGCAACGTCCGGGGGGACGCACACTCCTTGCACTTACACTTCCCACAGGCCTCGCACAGCAAGAAGTGCTTGTCCAGCTCTGGTGGGACTGCTGGGCCCTTTAGGTCCAGTGGCTTACAATGGACCACCTTGGGTTGGAGGCGCACTGCCCTGGGCGAGGCCTGCTCAGCCACAGGTGGCGGGGCCATGTGGTCTAGGAGCCGCTGATCAGAAGAGGTGCTGCTACTGCTGCTGACAGAGCTGGGGCGCCCACTGAAGGAGATCCAGTGATGAGTGACATCCTGGTCACAGCGGGCAGGTGTTGGGGCCAATTCTGGGGCCCCAGCCCGGGGCCGCTTGGGGCCAGTTGGGGGGGCCAGGCCAGGGTTGTCAATGTAGTCGTTCTCCACGTGGCTGGTCTTCATCTGGTCAATGGGAAGGATGGTGAGTGGGTGCTGGAGCCGACTGTGGGGCATCCGGCTATCAAGAAGGGGCTGCACCATGACTGAGCTGGGAGTCAAAGGGACGCTCTGTGGGATCGGGGGCTCCATGGGGCTGGAGGTTCTGGACCGCGCCGAGAAACAGGCTTCTAAGGGCCCTGGGGGAAAGTAGGGAAAAGGAAGAGAGAATGGATTCCAGGCATCAATCAGTAGGCAGCCTGTTAAAGGTCTCCCCCCCCCCCACACCCCCCCCCAACAGTCCTTGGAAGCCCAAGTAAAATGGGAATTCAATTCTCAGGTTTCCTTAGTGGACTTTCCAGTAATATCCATGGCTTAGATAATTAATAAAATTATTAGTAATGACAATACTAATAATAATAATGGTAGAAATAACACTTATTGGGCTGGGAATACTTGCCTAGCAGAAAGAAAAAATTTAAAAAGTAGTATTGTATTTAAGTTACTCTCTTTTAAGTATCATGTATATCATTAAGTCATTAACTCTTTACAACAATGGTAAAATGTTATCAACTATTATTCCCCTTTTCTACTTACAAAAAACTAATGTTCCAAGTAACTTGTCCAAAGTCACATAGAAGTATCAATAGAAGGACCAAGGTTCAAACATGGACAGTCTGAGTCTATTCTCACAATTGCTGTGAAACACGCTCATTTAAAATATACAGCTCAACAGTTATAAATAAACACAGAATCTGAAATTAGATCCGAGTTTGAATTCTTACCTTTGCCTACCAGCGTCTCTGTGGATGAGTTCTTTCATGTCTATGCCTTAGGCCTTAGTTTTGTCATCTGTAAATGGGTTTTTTAAACATCTTTATTTTATTTGTTTTTATGTGGTGCTGAGGATGGAACCCAGTGCCTCACGCATACTCTGCCGCTGAGCTACAGCTCCATGTAAATGGGTTCTTGCAAGGATTAAATAAGAAAATGCAAATCTAGGACCTAGCCCACTGCATGGTGCATGGCAAGTACTTGACAATTTATCATACCCGAGAACAGTTTAGATTCCGTGAGCACTGACAAGCACTTCGTGCCAAGCATTGCGCTGGGTGCTGAACACAACCGCCCCTGTGTGCTCCCACGGAGTTTATCAGCTGGATAAACAAAAGCCATTATTTCAGATATTCACAAGAGAAGGAAGGGCTATATCTGTTGCCTGCACATCCAGGATATTAACTTATTACTACTACTTCCAAGGGTAGCAACCTCCAGTGGCTAATAACTCCTGGGTAGGTGAGCTTCTGACACCTTGGATGGGAAATCCTCTCAAGGGGCGCTCACATCGCCCATTTCCAAGTGCTGAGCTGAACATTCAGCCTAAATGCTATTTACTAGAATAGCTAAGCCAACACTGGATCAGTTTCTAATTTCACTGAGAGAGTGCAATTTTAAGTTGGCATCTGGCCAGAGATTCAACTGCAGCGCCTGACACGGAACCCCAGGAAGTCACTTAAATCAAAGAGCGGAAACGGCTTGGTTCAAATTTAGAAAGTGCACATTGTTTTCTATTAGAAGTGCCATTTCCTTGCCTGCTGACCTTTACATTTGGAATTCGGATGGAGATCAATTTAAAGAAATAGCAGCAGAAGGCCGAGACCTCTGCTCAAGGGGATGCAATTTGGAATTCAAGGGACAGATTAGACTCTGGGAAGATTCCACGCTTAAGAACTCCAGGGGATGGGGCGAGGAGGGAGGGGTGTAGAAGGAGAAGATGACAGGCTACACAACAAAAAACCCCACTGGATTAGTGTTATGGGTGGTGTTTCCGTAAAAGCTTTTGCAAGATGCTAATGACGTTGTAACTAGGAAAGCTGACCCTATCCCTCAGCTAATAGGTTAACTTTCCCTCAAAGGAGCTGCTGAAGAAGAGGATGGGGATAGTTTCCATGTGTAGTTCACCCCATATCTCTCTGGACTTGGGACACTGTGGGTCCATCTAGATATTCCAATCACAGGAGAGTGATAAGGAGGCATTCAAATGAACTCAGTATGTTACTTCTTCTGCCAGTTAAAATTGTTGAGGAAGAGCTTCCTTAGATGCCTCAAACCCATCAAATAGAGCTAGCTCTAGATGAAGCAGATAAAAAGGGTTCTGCAAGGCTCATCTGTGCATCATCTATACTGCTAAATGGGAAAAAAAAAAAGGCAAATCTTTTCTACAAGGTTTAATGCTCAGTCAACTGATATTTCCCACTGACACAGGGGACCAACTATTGACTCTGTTCCCACAGCCCTGCCCATTTAAAAGATGCTGGAATTTCTTTATACACCTTTTCCTATCTTAGATAAAGTCTACCTGGTGACATCACCTGCCCCAAAGTTCTCTTCAGAGAACAGCATCTTCAGTTAGGAGTCCTCCCAGTAGCAATTTGCCTTAGGTATCTGGTGAGTCTGCCACTAGAGTAGTTATTTGCCAAGGCAGCCTGCTGTGGGGATCCTGTGGTCAGGGGTGGACAAAAAGAACACAAGGAAGTACTTATGGGTTGAAGTTTTTCCAGGGAATGCTATCTCAGGTACTTATTCGAAGTAGAGTCTCAAGGCCTTGCTTCTAGAATAAATGAAATCGAGGGTCAACAGACCAGGCAGGATTAGGGGCCAAAATTCCTAGCCTTGGGACTTTAACAAGAGGAAAAGGCTGAACTTGGTATAATGAAAAATGTTATGGATAAGACTCTCTGGCACCCTCCAAGAAATGCCTCAGCTTGGAATCTCACCCTTAGACAAAGACAACACGATCCCCTTATTCCAAAAGCCTGAGTTAGTAATACTACAGGTCCTGCCAACAAAATATCAGTGGCAGTTTGAAGATGATATTGTCCCGTGTAGCTGGGGTTGTCTCAGCTCTGGGGTTCTGGCCATGCTTACCAGAACAGTAAAGGTACCTAACCCCCCCCCCCCCCCCCGCCCCATCTCAGATTATCCACTCTTGTTTTCCCAGTTCATTACTGGAACTCTTTGAAAATAGCTGCAGGCAGATGAAACAAAAGCCATGGGCAATGCTCAGGGATTTTAACGGGCTCTGGAATCAGTGGGCAGATTCCCCAATTCATGAAAAGTCCCACCAGGAAGCCGGGGTGGGAGCAGCCACTGCAAGCAGTGGGGAAGTTGGCATTAGCAGGTTCCCATCACCCCCCACCCAGAGGCAGCTGTCAACATCTGGGCCTGCAATGGAGGCCAGACATGGGGGTGGGAGCTTGGCCTATGATGACTCAGCTCTCTCAGGACAAGAAGCATCTGATGGTTCCAGCAGGCATATTCTAAAATGTATCTTCCTACCATAACCTTCATGTAGGATCTCTCTTCTGGCTACTAGCTCAGCAAAAACCAATGGCTGGCTCAGAGTTTCACTGCTTAAACTTGCTCAGGCCTGAGGCCTCACCTGCCTGGTACAGGGACCCTCGCTGTAGGAGGGCCCTCCAAGAGCCCCTGATGAATTTATTTGGCTGGTAAAAAAAAGAAAAACAATTCCCGTTCTTTCTGTTTGATAAATCACCAGCACAGCTCCATGATGTCTCAAAAACAGAAAAACTGAGAGCTGGTTTAGAAGATCAATCTGCAAATCCTGGGACATGCTCTGAATGCTGCTGTGCATCTTAAGTGCAGTTTAATTAACTTATTTATTTAACAGTACTGGGGATTGAACTCAGGAGCTACTTCTGAGTGAAGTCTTTAGCCCTTTTTATTTTGAGATAGGGTCTTGCTAAGTTGCCCAGGCTGACCTCAGCCTCCCAGGTCACTGGGAGTACAGGCATGCACCAGTACCCTGGGTTTTAAGTGCAGTTTAATACATACCTCTGCTTCCCCTCCAAGGAAGGAAGAGGTTCATACTATAAATAGGAGACAAGGCTTTGCCTCATGTAGGCTAGACTGATAGCCAATTTGGAAGACTCTAGAAAGAGAAATGAAGCCAACACTGCACTTAGCCAAAGAAGCATCTCTTTGGAGTTTTAGGTGGCATGAGGCAAGAGAACTTTCACCTTCACTCAACATTCTAATAATAATTATGGAAGCAGCTAATATTTAGGAAGCATTTCTAGGCTCTGGCTAAGCCCTCTTGCCATCACCTTGAAGTATAGTACCTATTCTACAGAGTTAGAAATGAAAACACAAAGGGTGGCTAAATTATAGGGAGTGATTAGGGCAGGATGAGACCCTAGACAGCAGAGGCTGTGAACTCAGGCATGCAGCCCTCCTCAACCCTGGAGTATTCATGGAAATACCAGTCACATTTGTAGCCATAGACCACCCCCCTCTTCTTCAGCCTTCCCAGTCTGCCACCAGCCCCCAGGGAACCTCACCAGGCCATTTGGGGTCTCAGTAACTCAGTGAGCAGCGAAATGAAGCCAGTCGGGGCTTGTATCAGATTGCTCCCTAGTTAGAGTTTTCACTGTGGTGGAGAGTAGGAAGCTAAGGGTTTGTAAGTTCCTGTTATTCAAGGAAGGCGCAGAGCTCAAGTTATCTCAACTTCTCAGTTTTCTCTGCTATCCTTTCTGTCACCTCATCCCTCTTTATTTTCATTTTTAGTTTCCTTAAAATCCAATGGGTCTCATTTACAGGATTTCACTACAAAGCAATCCTTAAAAGGAAACCCTGAAAGGGAATCCCCTCTGTTCTGCATCTACCAAGTTGAATTTACAGGTCCCTAAGCATCTTTATGGATGGCGCTTCCTGGACAGGTCTGTGGGGAAGGCAAGCAGTGAGGTACAAGGAAGCCAGAAAAGTTCTAGAAGACTAAATCTGCAGGATATGGAAACCCCCAGAACACAGCCCTGTGTTTGCTGTTTGGCACATCCGGGAGCCCAGAGCTGGCCAGTCTGCCATTTGTACCTGCAGGGAAGGGCTGCAGACCTACAGGCCAGGTGCAAAGAAGCAAGAGGTCTGTTAATCACCCAGTACACAACTGGGTTCACACAAGTGGGCCAGATGCCTATTCCCACCCACATCTTCCCCTGGACTTACCCTAGGGAGGGGAGTTGGGAAATATTGGGAAAACCTGACAGTTGTATTTTGAAAGCCATAGGTCAGCTAATGACAAACTGGCAAAAGGCTCTGACTGAATGGGCAGTTTTTGCACTGCCCCATTGAGTCTCTGGGGGTTCTTTTAGTGAAGGTTGTTTAACCCTTTAACAACTCAGAA